AGTTCAACGCTCTTTCCTTTAACTAGCGGGGGTCTGCACAGGCAGAATGTTCATGGCTCTTGGGAGGACAATATCCAGGCTGTAGCATGTGGCAGTGATACCTCTAGTCTAAGTCTGTATTTTCAATTGGTGTAATCAACTTCCTTCAAATTCTAAATCAGAATAAAAATTGTCTGCTACTCCAAAACACAAAAAACAAACAAAAGAAACTCTGGTTCCTGCACTGAGGCAATAGTGTGTTTTAGCTCTTATGGTCATTTCTGGGAGGGTTGAAGAATGGGGTTATTACTCCAGCTATGCTGTTGTGTCTCTTTCTGTTCAACAAGACAGTGAAGCATTTATGATGTTTTACACAAGGGCCCAGTTTGGCGTACTATGCAGATCTCCTCCTTCATAAAATTCAGAAAACCACTTTTCCAGCTCTGGAAAGCAAATATATTGGGAATACAGTGTCAAGATGTTGTGTGAGGACTGGGCTCTTTCTTCTCTGGATTCTGAATGGATTCTGAATTCTGTCTGAGATGTGTGGGTTCCATGGGCTTTGGTTTCCTGTCTGTCAATATAGCCACTGTGTGTCTGCATATCATTCACTAGTGCTGCCTGGTGATGCTGCTCCCATCCAACATTTGCAATGCAGGCAGTTGCAGCTCAGCTGGCAAGAAGAGTATTCTGACCCTCTGAGTACAGGGGTACAGGGGTCTCATCCTCTCCAGGACAGAGAAGAGCAGTAAAATGTATGACAAAATATTCTTTTTGCCCTATAAAACAGTGCTCGGTCTTCTGTCTCCTTGAATTCAGAAATATAACAGCACAAATGGTGTTTGGTTACTGTAACTGTACAAAGTTTGGAAAAAATATTCATTTCCTTTGGCTATATTTGGTGAAAATTCCATAAGTCCTTCAGAGAGCATTTTCTGAAGGGTAGAATCAACATGAAATAGTAAAAAGGAGATTGATGCTGGTCTTCTTACTGTTCATGTATACAGTGGTTTCTTGTTGGGAGTAAAAAGTTGTCCCCACATGATTTTCTCCATTTGTGTCAGAGCATTTGCATTCTCCTTTTTTTCCCTTTCTCCTGCTACTCTCTGAACTGAGTTTGAGCATTTTCTTTCCTTTTCTGCTTAAGGACTGCCACCCCATGTATAATAACTGATTACTTGAATGATGTCTCTGATGCATGGAATATTCAGAAAGCCTCACACTGTGTTTTGTTGAAGTTATAAAGTTTAACATGGTGAATTTGGATACCCCTGAGTGTAAAACTGAAATAAAAAGAACACCTGAATGTGTTGTATGGAGGCAGTCTTTGTATTTTCCTTTGGCCTAGCTGGTGGGTAAGTGGGCTTATCTCTCCAGTTTCAAGATGCAGCAGATAAAGCATTCAGGAAAATTGGGGGGACAATGGAATTGCTCTCAGACCTCTATGGTTCTTTTCAGAACTGACCTTTACACTGAGATGGAGCCCAGGCAGACCAGGGGAAACTGGGCCCTACCTTCACACATGTCCTAGGTGTGCTCTGTGTCTGTAAAGCTGTGATGTGAGGGAGTGACCTCAAATCTCCTGATGGCTGCATCCGCAGATGGCAATTACAAGGTGTTCGTAACACTTCAGATGCAGGAATTTTGGAGAAGAATGGCAGAAAAACAGGAAGTACTTCCCTTGGGAAGTATTTTTAGGGAGTGTCTGAAGGTGGGAATTTGACAATTCAATAAAAGAATAAAAACTGCTACCAGGGAGAAGCTTTGGTGTCATGAAATGCAGAGGACTTCTCCCACAAGGCCCAGATGAAAAGGTAAGTCCTGGGGAGGAAATGGTGTAGTGGATGCTGACCAGAAGACGGATGAACATCAAGGATGAAGTGCTCCATAATCCAGTTAATCTGGGAAGACACAGGCCTCTGCTGTGCTGTGTTCTGCTCCACAAATACACTGGTGGAGGGTTAGATTAATCTCATTTTAATCAAGGAACCGGCAGGTAGGTCCCTCTTCCCACTGGTGAGAAAGCCACCTGCAAACAAGAAGTCTGCATACAAAATTCTTTTACTGGAACTCTAAAAATTATTAATAAAACTGGTTTGCTCTGTCAAAGTCCTGTAGTGTCTTGACTGAGTGGAACAGGGGCACACCTCCTTTCCTGGGACCAGGATCTGCTTGGCATCCTGTGTGTGGCTGAATTCCTGTGTGAAGTTACTTTTGCTAAATGTTCTCCACATCTAAAGGGATGTGAGATTACCTGTGCAAATCTCTTCCACTAATGTGTGTTATAAAAGAGAATTGGTGTGTGTCTCTTACTGAGATCACGAGGGACCATCACCTTCTCTTGTTAAACTTCTGGGGTTTGAGTAATTCCAGTTTGAGGCTTCAAGTGTCTGAGGCTGTTCATAAACATATAGTTTATTATGGCTTTTACCCTGTGAGAGGGGGAAGCAGTGTCCTGTCTTGAAAGGCCTGAGCACACTGCTGAGTTCTCCCAAGAAGCTCACTGGAAGTGCCCTTTAAGAAGGATTAAGACCTTAGTCCAGCCCTCCTTACCAGAATAAATGTTTTGGTTTTTTTTTTTTTCTGGATTTGTTGGTCATCAACACAGATGAGCTAATCAGATGAGCTAAGCAGCCTGGGCTGCCATGGTCATTCACTGGTCAAGTTCATAGTCCTGAGGGATATGGATCAGGCAAAGAGTAAAGTCAGGACCATGAATTTTAGGATAGCAAACATCCAGCTCTTAAAGGATTTAGTCAATGGGGCCCCTCAGAGGAAAGTGCCCTGAAGGACAAGGGAGCAGAACAGACCTGGCAGATCTTTAGGGACGCTTTCCATACAGTGCATGACCTCTTGAACCCATCTGTAGGAAAACAGGAAAAGAAGGGAACAGACCAGCATGGCTGAGGGAAGACTTGCTGGTCAAACTCAGGGGCAAGAAAGACATGAGCAGCAGTGGGATCAGGGACAGGTGTCCTGGGAATAGTTTAGGGATGCTGGCTGGGAGAGGGTCAGGTCAGCCAAGGCATGGATGGAGCTGAACTCTACAAGGAATGCAAAGAATAGCAAGAAGGACTTCTACAGGTAAGTCAGACTGAAGAAAAAGGTAAAAAAATCCCTGTATGTCTCCTGATGAACACAACTGACAATCTGATAAAAACAGACCACGAGAAGGCTGAGATACTCAGCCATATCTTTGTCTCAGTCATCACTGACAAGGTCTCTTCCCACACCTGTCAAGTGGATGGAGCTCAAGGCAGGGACTGGGGGTAAAAGTCCCTCCCACTGTAAGAGATGATCAGGTTCGAGACCACCTGAGGAACTTGAACATAGAAAAGTCTGCTGCTGGCTTGTGCTAGCACATGGGTTTGGAAATCTGAGGTTGCTAATGGCATTCGAATATTAAGATATATTGGCAGAAAAGGTGAGGAGACTAAAAAGGTCATCCAGCCATGACTGCTGAAAAAGCTGTGCCATTAGTGGGGGGAAACTGTGGTTGTAAACTAATGGGCTATGACTAGTAATACTTCTGCTTGTGAAGAGAACTTTATATCAATATTGTATCACCATTACAAAAACATTTTCCTGTGCGGTCGAAAGAACACTAGGACGCCTCTGCCTTCTTACCGGTCTTGATCAGCTTCTCAAACAAGAGATGGGCTGGAGAAGAGCAGAGGCAGGAGGTCCCCTCTGGACGCGGCCCGATGTCTCCGTGGCGCTGTGCTGTCCCCGCGAGCTGCCGTGGGAAGGCAGGACCGCAGCGCTCGGTGCCTGCAGTGCCGGCAGAGAGCTGCGGGCGCCGCTGTTGACCGAGAGGAGCGAGAGGAAACTCGGAGCGCTGCAGCCCCGCCCGCTGCGGACCGGGTCCCTTGTGTGCTCCCTCTTTGGCTCGGCAGGCACCGGATTGGAAGAGTCCCCGCGGTGCGGATCGGCGGTGCAGCGAGGCGGAGGGCCCAGCGGCAGCGGGCGGGAGCGGTGAGCCGGAGAAGAATTTAGAGGAGAAGCGGGGGCCGGAGCGGGTTGCAGATCAGAGGTCGGCAGGGCGAACTGCTCTCTGTGTTGCGGTGCCGCGGCGGAGATGTGCGCGGCGGGGAGGCGCTGGGGCCGGCGGCAGTCCTGAAAGTTTCCTTTGAGAATTTTAGCTGCACCTTATTTCTACCTCTAATTCAATCCTGTAACAATTAGCTCCCTGACTTCAAGGAGTATGTAATTGCTCCCGTCCCGCTTGTTTTAATGAACCTGATAGCTTTGTATTTTCGGGATATGGTATCTTAATGTTTTCTCTCTGAGAGCCTGTTGTTGAAGATGCTTTTGAACAAAAAGGATGAGATTACCAATAAGCTACAGGGAAAAATACGAAATATGTGTTTTAATTTACATATAATGTCATGAGTAAGTGATAAGTTTCCGGTGCGGTTAAAGATCCACGCGCACGGCATGCCTTTGCCTTCCTCCCGATGGTGATACCCTGGAGGATGAAGGCAGAGATCGGCTGGAGAAATGCGGAGGCAGGAGATCGGCGCTGGACGGAAAACGAAGTCTCCTTGGCGACTGTCCCCTGTACGGAGCAAGGCAGAGCGGGCAGCGCTCGGTGCCTGCAGTGCCGGGCGGAGGCTGCGGGCGCCGCTGTTGACCGAGAGGAGCGAGAGGAAACTCGGAGCGCTGCAGCCCCGCCCGCTGCGGACCGGGTCCCTTGTGTGCTCCCTCTTTGGCTCGGCAGGCGCCGGATTGGAAGAGTCCCCGCGGTGCGGATCGGCGGTGCAGCGAGGCGGAGGGCCCAGCGGCAGCGGGCGGGAGCGGTGAGCCGGAGAAGAATTTAGAGGAGAAGCGGGGGCCGGAGCGGGTTGCAGATCAGAGGTCGGCAGGGCGAACTGCTCTCTGTGTTGCGGTGCCGCGGGGGAGATGTGCGCGGCGGGGAGGCGCTGGGGCCGGCGGCAGCGAGCTCTGCTCTGCGCCGTCCTGCTGGTGGCGTGGCAGGCGGCGTGGGGGCAGCTGCGCTACTCGGTGCCCGAGGAGATGCCCAAGGGCTCCTTCGTGGGCGACGTGGCCAAGGACCTGGGGCTGCAGCAGTCGGCACTCAAAGACCGAGACGCCCACGTTTTTGACGCAGGTAGGACACGGTACTTTTTTTTAGACTTGCAGAACGGCCACTTATCTATGATGGAGCAGGTGGACAGAGAGGAGATATGCGCAGCTGTTGCTAAATGTGTTCTAAATTTTGAAATTCTTGTAAAGCGTCCAATGAACATTTACAAAGGGGAGGTAGAAATACTGGATATTAATGATAATCCTCCCAGTTTCCCAGAAAGAAGAAATGTCTTAGAAATCAGCGAGAATACTGCACCAGGTGCACGCTTCCCATTAGAGAGAGCTCATGATCCCGACATAGGAGTGAACTCTTTACAGAATTACGAATGTAGCGAGAGCAGCTATTTCACCTTGGACATGAAAACTGGAGGTGATGGTGTGAAATATCCGGAATTATTATTGGTGAAATCTTTGGATCGTGAACAGCAGGCTGATCATAATTTGATCCTGACAGCCACAGACAACGGGAATCCGGTGAAATCAGGGTCGACAACAGTCCAAATCATTGTGTTAGATGGAAATGACAATGCTCCAGAATTTACTCAGTCTGTATATAAGGTGACTTTGAAAGAAGACGTGGCTGTAGGAACTCACGTGTTACAAGTGACAGCGACTGACAGAGACGAAGGGCCAAATGCAGAGGTAAAATACTCGTTCTTTCAGATCCCAGAGAAGTTCGACAAGACTTTTAAGATGGATCCGGAAAGTGGAGAAATTGTCATAACAGAGAACTTGAATTTCGAAGAACACGAGTTTTATGAATTGGTTGTGCAAGCTCGGGATGCGGGCGGACTCTCTTCCCACAGCAAGGTACTTATCAAGGTCGTTGATGTAAACAACTACGTTCCCGAGATTGTCATTATGTCCGTGTTCACTCCGGTTCCGGAAAATACACCACTGGGAACAGTAATAGCAATTTTCAGCGTCCAAGACAGGGATTCTGGAGCGAACGGAGAGGTGCAGTGCAGCATCAGCGACAGCCACCCGTTCCGCCTAGAGAAGTCATTCGATAATTACTACCGTGTGGTGACTGCAGAACTGCCGACAGCGGCGCCTTGCGCGGCGTGCCCGTGTCGCACTTCGTGGGCATCGACGGCGTGCGCGCCTTCCTGCAGTCCTACTCGCACGACGTGTCGCTCACGGCCGACTCGCGCAAGAGCCAGCTGCGCTTCTCGGCCGCCAGCTGCTGCGACACCCTCCCGGCCGGACCAGCTGATGAGGCTTCGAGTGATCTCGCCCCCTCAGGAGATCAAGTTACCGAAAGCGGTGGGCAAGTTTCTTTTCAGGTACGTTAATTATTTAACTGTTTTTAGTAGGCGGGGTGTTTAGGATTCTTAGGCTAGCCACAGATGGTTCACAGTCTTATAAACCATTTTTTAAGATAGTCACCCGGTAATGAATGTTATCTCCCGAATGCGTGTTGAGTCTGCTTCGTGTGTTTTACATACCATGTCTTTACAGCTTGTAAAAGCTCTTTTTTCCTAGCTTTCCCTGAGGCTGGAAGGTTCTGTTGCATGTGTAACTTCACAAGGAAATTTCATTGTCTTGGTCTTCTACCGACTGTTTAAATTGTTTAAATACTTGCTAGTACCCGGTTCTCCGCATTTAAATATAATCCCCTGTATCTGCTCTCAAATTCCGGTTGAATTCGTGGATCTTGTAGCTTGAAAGCCGACACTTTGAACTCCAAGATTTCTTCCATATCTGCCTTCAATAAAGGAATTATTCAGTCCTTCTTAAGGGCAGCTGGAGAGACTCTTATTAATTGATGAAGAATTCCTCTGATTGAGTTTTTTTTTTTCCCACAGCTGGGTTTCGTGACTTTACTTCTGGATTCTATACAAATTGTCAATTACTGTGCAGGCATAGTCATCGAAGTAAAGTATATTTACTAGAATATAGATTAAAAGATACTTAAATGCAAAATGTAATTCATCGCTATCTATTTATAGTAAAGCTAGTTTTGGAATGCGAGCTAATCTTGAAAACACAGATCTGGACAGTGTTTCAGTGTGTGATGCATGAAAATGTGTGTCTGGATTGTTACAGGCAATTCTCATATAGGAGGCAGTGAATTATCTGTGACATATTTCAACATAATTCCCCTGCCCCCATGTAAACAACCACATCCATCTCTCAATATCTTGTGGAGATGCTCATAGTCTTTTGTGTTTCTGAAACATTACGAATTCAAATCCACGGCTTGTTCTGGCAGAACGTTAATTTGTTACCTGAAGTTGTGTACAGGTTCGGCTGGATGGAAAGGAATCATCCTTCACTAGCTGAACTACCAGACCTAGCAGGAAAATACATTTTCTAAGGAGACGTTACTGATTCGGGGAGGATTGCTTGACACTGGCACCTCAGAGACACAGGACTGGAGAATGTGCCAGGACAACTCTATCGAGTAGATAGTGTGGAGAGTTTTCTAACCTCTCCTTGTCTTCTGCATAAGGGGTTGTGATGATACACAGCCTTCCTTCAGGATTTTTTGTTGGTTTTTTTTTTTTTTTTGGTTGATTGGTTGGGGTTTTTTTTTGTTTGTTTGTTTGTTTGGGTTTTGGTTTTTTTTGTTTGTTTTTTTTTTGTTTGTTTTGTTTTGTTTTTTGGGGTTTTTTTTGTTTTTTTTTTTTTTTTTGTGGGTTTGGAGATTTTTTTCTTTACTGTAAAAGAGACTAGGATACAATTTACAGGTAAGATAAAACGGCTTTTCACAGGGAATCTGTTTACTTTGGTTGTTCAAACAACCATAGCTGCCGCCATTTCCCTGGAAATGTTCTTTAATGCCACAAAACAGCTACAGGATCTGTCTGTTTAGGATATCAGGGAGTGGTTTGTGGGATACACACACTGAAGTAATTCGGGGTTGGGTTATATGGGTACCGATAAGATGATGCTGAGCTTTGAATGTCAAAAGAGATGGGATCAGGTGTGATGTGACCGCTGTGGTGTTCTCAGAGCCTGGGATCCCCGGCTTCGCTTGTCCGTCAATGACAACTGTTCAAAGCTGGAAAGCTTAGTGTTAGCTGGGGATGTCTCACCTATCGTAAATAAACCCACTACCCAAAGCAGAGTTTCAGCGTTCGATCCGCCTTGCCTTTTCCCTCACGGAGGCAGCACGACGGCAGCGGGGACACTGAGCACTCCACCCTAGAGATCAGTAAGCTGACAATGGCGCAGAGACCAAGATCCTACCCCACATCCCTCAAGAAAAGGGAGAGGATCTGTCCGACAGAAGACTTGCAAGTGTACGCAATCCAGACAACAGGAATTCCTAGATGCACGGTTTCAGTACTGATAGACTTTCTGTTTCTCACTGCTGACAATATCTGTATTTTCCAATCCTTCCCGATGCAAGAGAATGCAGGGCAGGACCTTGGGGGTGTTCTTTTCTTGGACGCTGCGGTTCTCAGGCACGGACTCAGGGTGTCACTGTTGGCCAAGGCGGAGAAGTTGCTCAGCCGTCGACTCCTCCCCTGCGCCCGCGTAGCGCTGCACCGCACTGCGCAGAGCAGAGAGAAAAGCAGGAACCGCTCGACTCAGCCCGTCCTCCGACAGGCAACAGGGATTTCTTCTATTTATTTCTCTCGAATACTGGTTCATCTACCCGGAAAGGCTAATTTTTACCCGTCCACAGAACACCCTTCATGAAAGCACGGAATGGAGGTCAGATCGGCAGCGCAGGGCTGGGCAGGCGCTGGGCGGGTCGCTCTGCTGGCCGCGGTGCTGCTGTGCGTGTGGGGCCGGGCGGCGGCCGAGCGGGTCCGCTACGCCATCCCCGAGGAGCTGGGCAGAGGCTCGCTCGTGGGGCCGCTGGCGCGGGACCTGGGGCTCAGCGCGGACGAGCTGCCGGCGCGCAAGCCGCGGATCGTCACCGGTGATGAAAAGCAGTACTTCGCTCTCGAGGAAGATAATACAAATCTGCGTGTAAACGGCAGGATAGACCGAGAGAGCATCTGCGGGGCCGTGTCACCCTGTGTCCTCAGTTTGGAAGCAGTTGTGGAAAACCCTTTCGACATATTTCATGTGAGTGTTACTATTCAGGATATCAATGACAATGCGCCGCAGTTTGACAGAGAATTTGTTACCATAGAAATTATCGAGTCGACGCCTCCTGGTACCAGGTTCCCACTGAGCAGTGGCAGAGACCCCGATATTGGAGTGAATTCTTTACAAAACTACGAACTTACTCCCAACCCACTCTTCTCCCTTTTAGTGAAGGAGAGCCCTGATGGAACAAAACACGCGGAACTGGTGCTGGAGAAAATCTTAGATCGAGAAAAACAGAGAAATCACCATTTGATACTGACGGCGGTGGATGGTGGCGATCCAGTCCGATCTGGGACCGCCCAGATTAAGATTAATGTGACCGACGCAAATGACAACCCACCAGTATTCACCAAAGAAATCTACACAGTTCGACTCATGGAAAACCTGCCAGAGGGGTCCTTAGCTTTTCAGGTGAAAGCTACTGACAATGACGAAGGTACAAATTCAGAAATTACTTACTCCTTCAGCGACATATCAGAAAGTATCCGCCAGCACTTCACTCTGGACCCTAGGACAGGGGACGTGAAGGTTACAGGACGCTTAGATTATGAAGAAAGGAAATACTACGAAATTAGTGTTGAAGGCAAGGATGGGGGCGGGTTGACAGCACACGCCAAAGTGCACATAGACATTATAGATGTAAACGACCATGCACCAACACTTTCCCTCCTGCCTATCCTGAACCCGATACCCGAAGACTCAATCCCGAGCACAGTTGTAGCTGTGATTAATGTTCGCGACAGAGATTCGGGAGAAAATGGAGAGGTGAGCTGTAAAATGGAGGGAAATTTGCCTTTCAGATTAGAAACTTCATCAGAGAACACATACAAACTAATAATAGACAGTGCCCTGGACAGAGAAAACGTCTCCGCTTACAATATCACCATCACTGCCACGGACCGGGGCAGGCCGGCGCTGTGGAGCAGCACGGAGCTGGTGCTGGAGGTGTCGGACGTGAACGACAACGCGCCGGTGTTCGAGGAGGCGGCGTACAGCGCGTACGTGGCGGAGAACAACGCGGCGGGCGCGCTGGTGCTGCGCGTGCAGGCGCGGGACGCGGACGCGGGCGCCAACGGGCGCGTGAGCTACTGGCTGGCGGGCGGCAGCGCGGGCGCGGCGGGCGCGGCGCCGCTCGTGTCGGTGGAGGCGCGGAGCGGCGCGCTGTACGCGCAGCGCTCCCTGGACTACGAGCAGTGCCGCGAGTTCACGGTGGCCGTGCGGGCGCAGGACGGCGGCTCGCCGGCGCGCAGCTCCACGGCCACGGTGCGCGTCTTCGTGCTGGACCGCAACGACAACGCGCCCCGGGTGCTGTGGCCGGCAGCGGCGGGAGGCGGAGCCGCTGCGGCGCCGGGAGAGGCTCCGGGAGCGGCGGCGACTCCTTTCGAGGTGGTTCCGCGTTCGGCCGAGGCCGGGTACCTGGTGGCCAAGGTGGTGGCGGTGGACGCGGACGCGGGGCGCAACGCGTGGCTGTCCTACGAGCTGGTGCCGGCGTCGGAGCCGGCGCTGTTCCGCGTGGGGCTGCACAGCGGCGAGGTGCGCACGGCGCGCGCCGTGTCCGAGCGGGACGCGGCCAAGCAGCGCGTGGTGGCCGTGGTGAAGGACCACGGGCAGCCGGCGCTCTCGGCCACGGCCACGCTGCACGTGGTGCTGGCCGAGAGCTTGCAGGAGGCGCTGCCGGAGCTGAGCGAGCGGCCGGCGGGCGCCGAGGCGGCGGCGGCGGCCGAGCTGCAGTTCTACCTGGTGCTGGCGCTGGCGCTGCTGTCGGCGCTCTTGGTGCTGAGCGTGGCGCTGGCCGTGCTGGCGCGGCTGCGCCGGGCCGGGCCGCCCGCCGTGCTGCGCTGCCTGGGCGCGCAGCGCTTCTCGCTGGCCGGCGCCGCCTTCCCGGCCGACTTCTGCGAGGGCACCTTGCCCTACTCCTACAACCTGTGCGTGGCGGCGCCGGCCCGCGCCGTGCCCGAGGCCGCTTGGCCGCCGCCGCCGCCGGTGCCCGTCCTGTCTGCGGAGGAGCTGCTGGGCGGCGATTCCTGCGAGAAGCCGAACCTGAACTGCAGTGCCGTCGAGAGAGAGGTGCCCGCCGGTGCCGACGCACCGCAGGTCTGCAAAACCGTAAGCTCTTGCTGTTCTCCTTGAGCCTTTCTTAAAAGGCTTTCTCTTTTTCCCCAGATTGATGCATTTGTCGAGACCTGGAATTATCTTTTGGTCATTACTATTTCATTATTCATCTAAGAGGTTTTGTCTGCATCCCTTCAGTTGATTAAATTGTATTAATAATTAGTAGCTGTGATGGGGAATCATAACTGTGCAGGACATTAGCTGGTTCTTCATGAAGGAATTAGAGAAATAATG